AAGGTGCGCCTTTGACTTGCTGCGTGCGGGGGGAGGAGGCGATCGCTTCCTCTTCTCTTCGGGCTAGGTTTCACGTCTCTTGTGGGAACTAGAACTTGTCACTTTATTCGCTTTGCGTCTCAGATGGTATACGGGGAAGGGGGAGCGTCCGACTGCCTCCGCGTTGTTACAGCTGATCATCTCCGACTGTTGCACATTAGCTGGCTTTTTATCGAACTACTTTGCCTAATCTTCAATGAAAGATGTGGTTCTTGTGGTGCTGCGCGCCCACTATGCTTGAACTTCCTTCCTCTGCTCTAATGATGCCAGCCATATGCTACCGCATCCTCCCTTTTGAGTTTGCTCTGGTATGTCTAATAAGCTGTCTGTACAGGTGCAGTTCAGATAGTACAAAATCTTAAGTTTCTCCAGTTCTGGTATAATCCCGCTCTTGCATCGCTTTTCCGCGAATCTGTATGTCTACGTGCTATATCCGCTGACGAAATGCTTGATTTTTTACTGAAATTTCTTTGGTAAAGAACCAACAAATGGCCATAAATTCGTAGTTTCTCTGGGATGCATCTGCTGATGTCAGCTGTTTCCCGCCGATACTGCCATACTGCTTCGGAATTAAGATCTTTGAATTTCAGTTCACGATGTCGCTAACAAGCTCCTGGATCATCCTGATCAGTGAATTAAACTAGCAATTGCCCGAAAACTTTATTCAGAAACAGTTCGCATGCGACAGAAAGTAACACAGAACTACATAATAGAAATTTCTCGTAAAACAGATTCCACTAGTGATCGCTGTCAATGGAATTTGGCCATATAAAATATTGTACAGAGGCAAACACAAAATCAGTTGGGCGTGGCTGCCATTGCTCCGCTAAAAAAGTTGAACTTACTGATTGACCGAAGAAGGCTGAACTTTCATCATTATGCTGAAAAGCTTAGCCCTGCATAGCTGTTTAAAGCAGTAAATTTTATTCAATAATAAACTTGCACTGCCATTACTAAAGGTCCAAGCTAACATTGTTTTAACGATGGGACAGCACAACTTGTATTAATACCTGTTGTTTCAATGCTTCATCCACTTGGTAAAGACGGGAAGCCAGATGAGAAAGATTCTCGCTTATGGAGGTATTACTGGCCAATAGGCTTTTCGTATACGAATGCACATCAAACGTTTCAGCAGAAAATTCGTCCAGGCCTGACATGACTTCCATACCTAAACTAAGTTTATGTTAAACCGGTATGAAAAACGCTAAGTTGCAATGACAACAATTACGCTCAGTGAAACCGTCAACTACTAGCCATCTGACAAACCGCTGCCAGTGGAATAAGAAAATGATAAAAACGATATAAAACACGTTAACACTTGCAGTTCTACTTGTCTTGTTTCACTCAGAAAAAAGT